TTAAAGAACAACAACCGAAACGGAATCCCAGAAAAACCGATCGTAAATTATACACGGTCAAACTGCACCAGAACCTGGGAGAACCGGGAGCACCGGGAAGACTACTGGGCACAGCACAGATAGAAACACAGGTTAAAGAACTAACATCAAACAGCTATAACTCCGCATGCCCACTGAGTGACGCAGCCCCGCGACAAGGCCAGCACTGGTGGGGGCCTGAGCTTGAGAGGCTACGAAGAAGGGTAAGGAGACAGTTCAATAGAGCAATGAACACATGCGCGGATGAGGATTGGGAAAACTACAAGACGGCCAAATCCAAACTAAAAAAGCGCATACGGTTCAGGAGCTCCGCGTCATGGCGAGGCTACTGCGGGAACATCACGTCTAGCGCACAAGCAAACAGAATAAGGAAAATCCTAGGCAACTCACATTCAACTGAGCTAGGTTCAATACGCAAAATAGATAACACATACACAACCTCCCCTGCGGAAACGGAAAGAACCCTACTGGAAGTACATTTCCCAGGATGTAGGTTCGTCCAAGACGACAGGTGTGTAGAAATGAACTACACTACATCGATCCATAACTGGCGATACGCAGAACAAGTAGTGACATACGAAAAGACAAAATGGGCAGTAAACACCTTTGAACCATACAAAGCTCCGGGCCAAGATGGAGTATTCCCTGCACTCCTACAATGGGGCGGGGACACACTGGTCCAGCACCTGGTCAACATCTTTCGGGCCTGTCTAGCATTCAGCTATGTGCCCCACAGCTGGCGAGAGGTAAAAGTCATATTTATACCGAAACCAGGAAAACCCGACTACACTGACGCGAAGTCCTTCAGACCTATTAGCCTCACATCATTCTTCTTGAAGACATTGGAAAGGCTATGTGACAGAGAACTGAGGGATGGAGCACTTAAGAACATTCCATTACATGGTAACCAACATGCATACAGCCAAGGCAAATCCACTGAATCGGCCCTACACGCCGTTGTGGGCAAGATAGAAGTGGCCCTT